TTCCCAGTTTGGGAAAACCTTGCTGCTATTCTGGGCTTGCTCCCAACAGAAAACAGAGAAGTAGAATAAACGGAGGTAGGAACATACCCATAATATCGATGTGGGTCACGCCTTCTCCTTGCTATTTTCAAATTTGTTTTGAGAACTTTTCAGCCATACTGTTAGTCGTATAAGGGGGGTGCAAGGGGCATGTGCCTGAAGCATCGGACAGAAACTCCTCCCCTTTGCCCGAGATAAAGGAGTTTTTAACAACTGATTCTTGTCACATCTGGTAAATCTTGAGTGAACCTGATCGTCAGAGGGTTAAAAACGTCACCAAGCCAAGGAAACATAAGGCTATATTGGAGCAGTGCTAGGGTTTGTCTGTGGGGGACGTACCTGCAAATGAAGCAAATTGCTTATGGTTGACAAGATCATGGAGCAGATGCTCCTGGAAACTATGCTAAGGCACGTGGAAAAAGAGGAGGTGATTAGTGACAGCCAATATGGCTTTACTAAGAGCAAATCGTGCCTTATGTATTTGGTGGCCTTCTACAACAGGGTTACAGCATTCATGGATAAGGGAAGAGCAACTGACATCTACCTGGACTTGACCAAAGCATTTGACACTGTTCTGCATGACATCATTGTTTCTAAATTGGAGAGACATAGGTTTGACAAATGGACCATTTGATGGATAAAGGAATTGGCTGGATGGTCTCATTCAGGGTTGTGGTCAGCAGCTCAATGCCCAAGTAGAGACCAGTGACAAGTGGTGTTCCTCAGGGGTTGCTATTGGGTCCAGCGCTGTTTAACGTCTTTATTGGTGACATGGACAGTGGGATCGAGTGCACCTTCAGCAAGTTTGCTGACGACACCAAGTTGTGTGGTGTTGTGGACACACTGGAGGGAAGGGATGCCATCCAGAGGGACCTTGACAGGCTGGAGAGGTGGGCCCATGTGAACCTTGTGAAGTTCAACAAGGCCGAGTGCAAGGCAATCCCAAGGACAAATACAGGTTGGGTGGAGAATGGATTGAGAGCAGCCCTGAGGAAAAGGACTTGCAGGTACCGGTTGATGAGAAGCTCAACGCGAGCCGACAATATGCACTTGCAGCCCAGAAAGCCAACTGTATCCTGGGCTGCATCAAAAGAAGTGTGGCCAGCAGGTCGAAGGAGGTGATTCTGCCCGGCTACTCTGCACTCACGAGACCCCACCTGGAATACTGCCTTCAGCTCTGGGGCCTCCAACACAAGAAGGACTTGGAGCTGTTGGAGTGGGTCCAGAGGAGGGCCATGAAGATGATTCGAGGGCTGGAGCATCTCTGCTATGAAGACAGGCTGAGAGAGTTGGGGCTGTTCAGTCCAGAGAAGAGAAGGCTCCAGGGTGACCTTCTAGCAGCCTTCCAGTACCTAAAGGGGCCTACAGGAAAGCTGGAGAGGGACTTTCTACAAGGGTATGTAGTGACAGGACAAGGGGCAATAGCTTTAAACTGAAAGAGCGCAGATTTAGATTAGATATAAGGAAGAAATTCTTCCCTTTGAGGATGGTGAGGCACTGACATAGGTTGCCCAGAGAAGCTGTGGCTGCCCCATCCCTAGAAGTCTTCAAGGCCAGGTTGGACGAGGCGTTGAGCAACCTGATGTAGGGGAAAGCGTCCCTGTCCATGGCAGGGGGGTTGGAACTAAATGATCCTTAAGGTCCCTTCCAATCCAAACCACTTTATGATTCTATCATTATGTTCAAATGGCATCCTGGTTTCTACTTGTGTTAATGTCATCATTGTGTTTGGTTTACGTTTGTCTTAAATCTCCTGCAATTTCAAGTCTGTTTACTTTCACAATAGCTCCGGGGACTCTAGATCTCCTTTTCCTTTTTCATTTGCCACAGTGCAGAATTGGGCTGATGGAGAGTGAGGGAGAAGAGGAGGTTTGATTCCTGTGAGGTAAAAGTCATTTGACTGAAAATGAAGTCCTGCCTTTGTCAGTACAAACTGTCGTGAGGTGGGGTCTAAGGCAATGTGTGAATTCAGAGTTAGTTAACTTTTTTTAGCTTTTGAATTTGGGCATACTTGAAAAGATATTTTCTAAATGACATCTTTCAAGATATTATGAACATTTGCACCATCTTCCCTCTTCTTCTTTCCCCCTTGCCCCCTGTTTTCCCATCCAAAGGCTTTTGAGAGCAAATTTTCTGTAGTTAAGAAATCCAGCACAGGCAACCTGGGGCATTCAGTATCCAAGCACATGAAAATAAAGACATCTCTGACATTCTCTAACAGATTTACCCAGAAAAAAAAAAAAAACATATTTGCTGTTCAGTTGTATAGTGTCCACTCACATTGCTGAAGCCAAAATATTTAATTATTTCAGTATGGGCAAAAGTTACGCAGCTTGGAAAGCAGCTACGTGTTTCCCACTGCACCAAAGCTATCTGAGCATGTTCTGTGACTGTCTTTGCTCCTGCAGCTGGGATGCATATAGTGCATTCAGGCTTATTGCAGGCATAAAGGAACTTAAAAGACTTGACTGCAGATCGTAGATAATTGTGTGCTTATAGCAGATAGCTGTGTGAAAATAGGGACAGGAAGAGCATGTATGTAAACTGTTTATGTAACTCGGAGAGCTGGCCATCTCTCCCCTAAAATGTTAACTGCCTGGGTGTGAAGGGCAGCTGTGTGCTACATAGCATAGCTGCTTCTTCCCCGTGGGTCTGGGCCCCCATTCACACCTCCAGACCTCAAACGCTGGCGGATCTCAACGTAACTGTATGTGCTGGGAAACGGAGCTCATTAGCTCAGACTGAAGGTGGAGTAATGCAATGAGATAATGGCCCAGTGACAATGGAAACAGATACTTAAGTGTGTCTCTTATGAGATCAGTTGCTCTTTGAGGAAATAACAACAACAACAACAAAAAATCCAAGTGTGCTTATAGCATGGAAAATGGCTGGAGAATTGGTGTTTGATATAACATTTAGTGCAATGTTGCTGGGCGGTGGAAGAAGTCAAAGCATCTTTTCAGGGATAATAAATCACAGATTGTGCCTGTCAGGTATTTTGGGACATCCTTTGGGACTTTAAGGAAGTTCATCTGCAGACCATAGCACAAATGAATAAAGTTACTTCGATTGGTCTCTACTCACATGAACTCTTGTGATCCATTGTAGCTGCCTCAAACATATTTTTTTGGAAGGGGATGGCATTGTGTGTTTACTTGCCTGCTCTCGACCTGCCCATTTTAGGGCTACTTCTCCTTTCAACACTAATTTCTTATGATAAATGACTGCCTTGGTGAGAACTCTTTCTCTCTCATTTTCTATCCAGAGCCTGTGGGCTATGGAAAGATGCTGCATGCAGTTTTGCACACGTGTTGAGTTTACCAGGAGAAAAATCGAGTTCTGTACCTTCATTCACTTTCAATGCTTCTCCTTTTATCTTCTGTAATAGCTTGTGTTGAAAGTACATTTTTAATTAAATTGTTTGCATCTTGTATATGCACAATACATTCACTTTGAGGGCATTTTTATTACAGTAGGAGGGTGGTGATATGTAATAAGTCTCAAGAATAATTAAAACCTGTGTAAACTTGTGTATGTTTTCAGTAGCAATTGAACTTTGTGTTGAGTCTCTGCTGGGTCCAAGATCAGCTCTTAGTCAAGTAGGAAGGAAGGGGTGATGAGGGAAGGAAGAATTGGTTCTATGTACCTCTAAGTTCTTACCAGTTTAAGATAAACCTCGCCTGTCATGTTTATTAAAAAAAGAATATCGCCTCCCATTTTAGGTATTTAGCTCAAGATAGTTTTTGTTCCACGCTTATTGAGGGAGAAACAGAAAGTGGGATAATGTTATGAATCAATTTGTGAAGGATACCTTCACCTCTCCTGTATATGGATGTAGCCTCAGAGTTTTGTTCAGACAACCTTGGTTTACACTGAAGGGGAAAATGCGGAGTAACCTGAGAAGGCTTTTAACGGCAGCATGACTTGACCAAGCAAAGATTTAAATAACTAGGGGTTTCTAGGAGAGAATATGATAAATCGCTTTTCTCTTTTACTTTGAGGAGGTGGAAATACATGTCAGAATCAGCAAGATGCACAATTTTCATCTGAACCTTTGACTTTCTGCACCAAATAGTTGTTATGCTTTTTATCAGTGTGTTTTCTGCAGTCTAGTTTTGGTCTACAGTCTAGTTTTGGAAAGACGGAGGAGGCTGGGTCTTCCAAGTCTCTTCCTACAAAACGTGAAGATGGTTAATAATTCTTGAACACCCGAAAACCTGAACAGATGTTAAAAAATTGACTTACTGAATCTATGGAAATGCCAATAACTACACATGCTTCCCTGAAACATTGTAAACAAATGCTTTTCGTTCATCATGGCATACTAGAGTCGAAGATGGGATAAGAAAGGGGCCTGATTCAAGGACAATGATTCATCCTGTTGCATGAAATACTTTGGAAAAGTGTTAATTTGTCTGTCTTTGCTGAAAAGTACAGTTTTACATTGGCTTGTAGATGGTTTGACTTTGCCAGGGACAGCAGGTGAATCAACGTTAATTACAATAGCTTTGCCAAGGATTCTGTGACGTCCTGCTTATACCCGAGTCAAGCTGAGGCATGTAACAGTGTTTTGAAATGGATAGTAGTTCTGAGGATGTCCCTAATATCAAACCAAATTCAAGATCAGCATTGGGGGTTAAATGCTAGTTCAGTCTGGAGGAGCGTGTTTGGTCTCTGGAAGAGATCCATTTGGGTTAAACTGGTAAATCAAGTAACAGCTTATCTAATTAAAACCTCCTATTTAAATGTCAGAGCACCTGCACTGTTTTTTGTTAGGTGAAGCAAATTTGTAATATTTCGTAAAATTATTGATAGTGAATATACTAGGCTAGCCTTCACAAAACACTTGAGTGATTATTTTGAAAATATGAACAAAGTGTGGAAACCTGAGAGGGAAAGGTGCGTTTCTTTTTCAGGCTGCAATGATTCTCCAAGAATGACTGTAAAATGTTTTCTTATAGGTTGTTTCAAATGCTGCTGGACAGGGGGTTGCCATCACTGGGAACAATACTTTCAACAACTGGAATTGGCCTAATGCTGTAATCTTTGCTGCTACTGTGATCACTACAATTGGTAAGTATTTATTATGTCAGCTTTCCTAACTGTAGCTTTCTGTATGCTCCAGTGTGTTTCTACTCTTCCATTTATGTGTGAAGCTAGCCACTGAAAAAAGTCTCCATGGCTGGAGTTGCCTGGATTATGTGCTCACCTGCAGGTTCATAGAGGAAAAAAAACAGGTTTTTGGCACAGGTTTTTTTCATGGATGTACAAAAGAGGAATGTGTGCCTTTCTGATAAGTAATACATTCAAGGTTTTGTTGGGGATGACTGGTGTCATTCCAGTTCCATTAATTCATGCACTTAAATTTCCAAATCATAAAATGCCAAACCAAAAATGTTACAAAACGTGCTATTAAACTAATTCTTAAAGCATGGGCATATAAGGTTTTTGTATAGCTATCCTGTTACTCACATGCATCCTCTTAAGCTACTGAACTATCAGTGTTCTTGGCTTGCAGACTATCTAGACTTTTTATCTCTCTTAAAGAAAGCAAAGTAGAACAAGTGTTGTCTTCTAAATCTCACTACTGATTTGTGCTTGTAAAACCCCCTGCATTGAAAGACTTCTGCCTCCTTTGATATAAAGATTTTCAGAGCTCAGCATCATCTGCCTTCTGATTTTACAGAAGGATCTTTGCTACATGGTATTGCTACAACCTTGCTACACCTACAGTGCAAAAAAACAGGAATGCAAAATAACCAGAGAAGGCTGGAGGTATACAGAAATGGAAGTCTTACTGTTAAACCATATGCAGTACTGTGGGTTTTTATTATATGAAACTCAAAATACCCATCTTATAATATAACTTATGACAAAAAGTTGAAGTCAGGAATACAACTAAATAAGAAAGCTCTAGCAGAAGTTCAGAAAATAGGCTGCTGATTTTAGAGCCTGAGTTTGTAATGCTCTGATTGATTCTGTGACCAGCAAAGTAAATTAAGTTGAAATACCTCTCTATGTCACAGCTCACCTTGCATTTAACTCTCAAACTCTTGAACTCTTGCCCTGGAGAGGTACCAGGTCACAAGTTAAATGTGTGTAGTGGATCTTTCACATGGAAGCTAGCTTCAGGATGAATTTTGAACTTATATTCTATAAAAGCGATTCAATCAAGTTTTTAACAGTGCTGCTTGAGGTTGGGTAACCATATTAGAAGCTTTGAGATGAGCTTTATTTCATATTTATCTCGTCTTGTCAAGAAAAAGACGCATAAAATCTATGAAACGCTTAAAATACAGTAATCCTCTCAGCCTGCATTAATGGAATACATGTTGGCTAGAGTAGAATTGGAAGGCATCCAGATTCAGAAGATCAGCAGCTGGAGCAGACTAAAGCTTTTATAGATGGTGAAATAAGGAGCGTCTGATACAGCAGAAGCTCACACAATGTTGTTTTGTGCATAGGTGGAATTGTCTTGAATTCTCTGCAACAAGAACAGACTGTGCACATACTTATCTCTTTTAGGTTACGGAAATGTTTCTCCAAAGACACCCTCTGGGCGTCTCTTCTGCATATTTTATGGGCTCTTTGGAGTTCCTCTCTGCTTGACATGGATCAGCGCTCTGGGGAAGTTCTTTGGAGGACGTGCCAAGAGGCTGGGCCAGTTTCTGACAAAAAGAGGAGTAAGCCTGGTAAGGTCCTCTCTTGTTTATCCTCGTGCTGTGTATTTTTGATGCATGAATTAAGCTTACACTTCTTAGCTTACCTGCTGATCTTGGTAGTAAATGAACACTTGCACAAATATGAATTTTCCCAAATATTGTTGCATAGAAATAACTGAAAAGGGGATTGGGTCTGATATGGTAGCTCTGCAAAAAGTTTTGGCAAAATAAGATCTTGTAGAAACCTTTCCTTTCACACTAAATACAGATCTTGCAGTTTTTATGGAGACATATGTATCTTCTTACATTAGAAACCTGTAGGACAAACATAGGTGAGGCTCCATTCCACAGACATTCCGTGCAAGCATCTCTGGCATGGAAATAAGCTGTCCTGCTTTGTTCCCACCTGCTTCTATGCTAGCACAAGTACTTCCTGCTGTGCAGTGAACCAACTGGAAAATAATGTTTTCCTATGAGTTACCGGCTTGTGGGTTTTTTGATTGTGGCTTTTTGTTGGTTTTTTTTGGTGGTGGTTTGGTTTTTTTCTTTTGGGTCCCCCCGCCCCCCCGCAAAGTGAATCCTATCTCAGTTCTAACTCTGCACAGAGATAGGAGGCAATGCAGGGCCATAGTGCCTGGAGGAATGTATTACTAGGTTAGGTCCTGGTTTCAGAAACAGAGCAAGAACTTTCTTGGTGTTCAGCACCTGGGAAGAAAGTACAGAAAATCATGGTGAAATGCATGTGCATGCACAGCTTTGTACACAGGTTGCATGAATGGCAAAGAGTAGGAGGCATAAATAGGAAAGAAGCATCTTAAACACATCAGATCCTCTATACTCCAATGAATAAAAGGAAAATTGAAGGTACTGACTGCTATTTAGACTGCTATGCCTATTTATTAGGAATTCCTTAAACTTTTTAAGGATATGAAAGAAAACTGTGAGGAAATAATCTTGTTTTGACCAAGTGGTTGTAAGAAAGCGAGTTCTGCATAAAGGAAAAAAGAATAGTTGTGTGTTTACTTCAGTCTGACTTTTAGTTATGACTGACTGTTTGCAGAAAACTCTGAAATGTCTGGTACTGTCAGATGATGCTTGGTGCCTTGAGTGGGAAAAGAAAATTTGGAGATCTTTCCCTGACTTTTTTTTTTTCTTTCTTTACAGAGGAAAGCACAAATTACATGCACAGCTATTTTCATTGTTTGGGGTGTCTTGGTCCATCTGGTTATTCCTCCCTTTGTTTTTATGGTGACTGAAGGATGGGATTACATTGAAGGCCTCTATTTCTCATTCATCACTATCACCACCATAGGATTTGGAGATTTCGTTGCTGGTTAGTAGTTGTATTTTATGTATTATCTCACTACATACATAGTGTGGCAGTTCTGTTTCCAAACTCCAATTCGAAAAGGTGATTTCTAAGGGTTTTTTTTAGCAAAACATTTTGCTAAGTAGAAGATTCATTTAAAGCTGAGCACTGATCCAATGGACTAGATCTGGCTCTTCAATCTTGGTTTACATACCTAAGGCCTTTATTGGACTAAGTCTGGTGCCAAGTTCTAGTTCATAACTTTTTCAGGTGCCCCAGGTCCCTATTTCAGGCAAGGAGCTATCGTATCCACCACCATAGTTAAGCACCTTTGAATGGAATCCAGTATACTAAACAGGGCGCATAAGTACTGGGCAATGATCTCTGTGCAGCTGTCTAGAACTAGACAACAGGAAATGCTGAGCATACTGCTGTCTCCCTCCTAAATCTTGTCTTTCTCTAAAATCTACTGCCTTGTTTAGAGCTTTGGAGATGGTCCTTGTAAGTGGAATTCTCAATCATTTTCTCAAGGAAGGTACCTATATCCACACCTCAAAGACAGGGAGAAGGCTTATAATTTTCAAACCGGAAAAAAGTTTACTTTTATAGCTTACAAGGAGAGGATAAACATATTGCCACTTTGTTGCATCTCAGTGATCAGAATACATGCAGCCAAGAAGTGAAGACCTGGGATCAACTTTTTCTGTCAGAAGGGTTTCAGATCCCCACTTACCACCTCTCGGAGCAGCGTTCAAACAACTAGGCTCTGTTAGTGTGGAAGGGAGTAGTTCTCAGGGTTGTAACTTCAAAGGTTTATCAGCTGAGAGTCCTCTTTCAGTAATGTTCTTGTTTTTAATTCTTTGTAGGTGTGAATCCAGATGCAAACTATCATGCCCTTTACAGATATTTTGTGGAGTTATGGATCTATCTGGGACTAGCTTGGCTTTCACTCTTTGTTAACTGGAAGGTCAGTATGTTTGTGGAAGTCCACAAAGCTATCAAGAAACGGAGGAAAAAAAGAAAAGAGTCATTCGACAACCATCCTCGGTCTAAAAAACCCCTTCAAATGGGTACGTCAAAGGATGTCAATATTTTCAGCTTCCTTTCAAAGAAGGAAGAGACATACAATGATCTTATTAAGCAAATTGGGAAGAAGGCCCTGAAGACAAACAATGACAAAATAATTAAAGTAGAAAATGCCAAACAAAACATGCAGAATGCCAGTATAGATGCCCAGGTAACTTACAAAAAGACAGAGTCATTTGAGTATGATGAGGCTTCTCTGGACATTCAAAATGGTCATGTACTGAGACCCCTGCATGATAAGCGTATGGGAGACAGCCCTCTAGAAGGAACCATGTTTGTAAACCAGCTAGACAGGATTAGTGAAGAAGAAGGTGAAGTGTGGGATTCCAGAGACTATCGACCCTTGATATTTGAGAATGCTAATATAACATTTGTAAATGAAGATGAGGATGAAGAGGAAGATATCTCTGACGATGAGGAAACGTCAAAATCCTCTATGGATGATAACCTTGCAGAGGAATCTGAAACTGCAAAAAAACTGGTAAAATTCCCATCCTCTGATGAATCTACCTTTACCAATAACGAGCTGGAACTTTCTGTGCCTTATGAACAACTGATGAATGAATATAATACAGTAAGCAATGTGAAGGCAGCAACGTGAAGCATGTTTGACAATGGTTTTCTGAAAGTGGTCAGTGCATATTGAACCAATCAACAGAGCAAGGAGAAATGCATGTTTTTGCAGCTTCTCCTGTCTCTTTGAAAACACAATCAAGCCCCAAACTAATAAACTCCAGTGTCCTTTTCCCATCCGAAGTTGGTTTCTGAGCCCGTCAGCTTTGCTTATCTGAAAAACTTGTAAAATAAGTTGAATTTAGAGTCCTGCTCCTTCTTGGGATTTTATGGATCTTGAACAAAGTAGAAGAGACACGACTAGTTAATACACTGGACCTGCTCTGCGTTTATGCATTTCATTGAGGAATTAGTTTGGGAGTGTAACTGTACTGTTGCAAAGAGACTGTTTTGGACAACAGATGCGTTCGGTTACTTCTTTAGCCTTTCACCTCTGAAAACCTGGATTTGAATCCTGCTTTGATCACAAAGGAAAGCAAGGAGTCTACTTTTTTTAAGCTGCCCATTGTTAAGCTGTTACCATAAAAAAATGGTGCAACCAGTGGTTGTACTTAATGAGAAACTTTAGATGGAATACCAGGGCACACTGATCTGAATTGAGGTGCACTGGCAGACTGAGGAGGAAGCTTGTGAAACATCTGTCTAGAATATGTCAGTGCTTGTCAAATTATAGTGAATTGTAATTTCATAAATGAAATATTAAAATTAAAAATTCCAAAGGAATGGATTGAGAAGGAGCCCTCTAACAAGGAAGAATTATTTTGGGATGAAGCTCACCAATTGGGCTGCTAAACTGCACGTCAGCCTCAGAACTGTTAAAGAGTAAAGTGACTCGAAAACCTATTGATCAAAGTATGTATGAGCACAAGCAGGATGCAATGAACTTTTTTAATGTTGAAAGTGTCCTTCCACTGTCCATTTCCTAGAGGAAATACTTGAATGAACCTTATACAGTATCTATGTACAGGTGAAGTTTTATTGACACTGTTCTTCTGAGGAAAAAAAATCACCTCAGGAGGCACAGATACTCTCCAAATGCCCTAATGCCTGTCAGAAGGGACCTGTAGCACTGCTGCTGATCTGTGCAGTGTGTTAGTCAGTATTGTTGTTTGATGTTCCTCCCTGCCTAGGTACTTCAGACTAGACTTGAATGAGAGATGATTTTTGAAACAGTTGATTACGTTTTGCTTGTTTTGTTTCAAAGTTTGACCCACATGCATATACAATGGTTATTCTATCCCACTTTCGAGAGGGCTGGGCATTGTCAAATCTTGGGCAAACTGAGATGTGATCAAGTGACTTCAGGCCATAAGGCATTTTTTAAAGGAACTTTGGCTCTAAGCTCCTGAAAGTATTATCTTTTGGCTTGGAGATGGGCTTCTCATTGAGAAGGAAGTATGTCTCTTCATAACATTTATGCCCAAATTGTTTTGGCTACAAAGAAAATTATACTTTGGTTTTATTTTTCTTTCTTTTTCCACATCTATGTGTTAACCCTGACAACTCTTTCAAATGAGGCTCTTGATTACATGTTGGCAAAAGGTACTGACTTCAGTTGTATCCAATATGCTTGGAACAGAAAATAGCCAAGACCTTTGAACCTTAACATGTCAAGTTCTGTTGTTCTGTTTAGGTTTATAGTATTTAAGTCATTCCAGTATGTCTGAAAGTTTCCAAAGTTCAGTGAACAGTTAAAAGTTGTCTCGCTCTCTCATTTTTGGTGTAATGCTGGCAGACTCTCTAGCTCTGTAAGAAGAGCTTATGGAATCTCGCAGTGCTAATCTTGATTTACTAGCTATTTCTAATAACTGCAAATATTGGCTGCAGATTCAGTTGCTGGCCTCTTCCACAGAAGAAGGAGGACATATGAGAAACTGGCACTCTGGTTGGATAGCCTGTTGATGGGAAGTTTTGAAGCCATCTACTGTGAAACAAGGGACTGTCTTTACTAGTCTGTTTTTCGGAATTTTTGACGTATATGACACTTTTTCAAATAGCAAGTGGACACAAGGCAAGGGCCAACTCTGTTGTACTGGCAAAAATGTGGAATCAGCATCATTCGATTAGGTAGTTAATCTGTATTTTATGATAATACTGCTGAAGAGAGATTCTAATTTGTAATCAAATTTTACTATATTACTGCTCTTTGGAGCAGGGGTGGCTGGATGAATTTGACTTGTATCTGACCGGAAAGTGGGAGAGACCCTATCGAGAAGATTCTGATTTACTTCTAATAGACACCCCCACATCCATTGTTTTAAAATGACTCCAAGCTCTTCAAGTATTTCTATATATCTGAAGAGTTGTGGTTGACAGGTATACCTTGTAACTGTAAGATGGTAGGTAAGACTATATATGTGATACACAGCATGCTTGTGTAGCAAGTCTAGCCTTCTCTACTTTTTTTTTTTTTGGTATGTTTAAAAAAGCATGCATAAACTTAAAAAAAAATGAGAAAGCACTCCATATAGCTTTTGTTGTCCTCCAACTTGTCTTCCATTATCGATGCAAAGATCAAAGTTTTAGTGACAGTTAGAAAACAACAAGACAGTGGGGAGAGAAAAGGCTTGCTGAAAGTGCATGAAATGAAAAAGCATAGTCCAATCTTCATTTAAAAAAAAAAAAAGAAAAAAAATCTATTTAATACAGAAATAATCCAACCCAGACACTTGGCTGGACTGCTTCAATTGGGAGGGGATTTTGCACTCTGGAACCCAGACTCTCCGTTCTCCGTAGCAAAGTGCACTTGTGCGCCAGAGCTGAGAATGGATGGGATCTGTTTCATATTATCACGTTAGATGTGACTCTCTGGCCTTTCCCAGTGTAGTCAGCATAGACTGTAAGTCTGCGTAATAAGTATCATGGGATTTAAAGTAATAGCTTAAATTTATTAAAACAAAGTACATTATTCCCGCTTTTTTGGGAAACATGATCACACCTCACAAAACTGTTCTCAAGACATCCCACCATGTGCCTTAATGTAATCCTAACACTGGGAAAAAATTCCTCTTTACACAGGGGCCAACACAATTGGTCTCATTAAGCCCTACTTGTTTTCAGTGTTTTGGAGGGGTTTAGTTGGCGCATAGCTTTCCTACGGGCGCTCTCCAAAATGTTGAACCATTTCCCAGGGCTTTTAAAATGATGGTGCCATCTCAGAACTGCCGAAGTGCTAAGCAAGACAGCTTTTTGCCTGCTTGTCTTCCACGTCTTGAGAAAAGCAGCTGCCTGGGGGATCTAAATTAATGTTTTTCTGCCTTCAGATTTATGCATAGAGTTAGAGGGGTGTCCAGGCTGGATTTTGAGCTATTCAGCCCCAAAAGTGCCTCTGAGTGAATTCCCCAGTGCTACTTGGTAAGGTCTTGTAGATATTTCGATTATCTGGTCAATTTGGAAACATTTTGTTTGGATGCCATTTAAGATTTCGTTTGGCTAACCAATAATGTTAATGGCTCTCTTAATGCTATGGAATTGGTTTTAAGGTGAGATAGGTCTCTTTCTGGAAAGAGAGGAGATGTTTTTTTTGTTTAAAGAGAAGAAAAAAAAGCTTAAAAGCACATATAAGGAAGAGATGAAATAGAAATGGAAACTTTTCTTTCTAGCTATTGCCTACAAATAGATTGTATTTCCAGTCACATTATGTGAAGCATGGGTCCAGTTTCACAATACTAGCTTATAAATTTTGCTAAGATGGGCCAGTACTTATAAAAAAAAAAAAAAAGTTGAAACGTGACAACAAAAGTCTGTTCCTTCAAAAGCCCTTTTAAGTGCTATAGACTATGTGACCCCCTCCTTCATGACATCATTGTGACTCTTTTTGGTTTTGTCTTGTGTTGTTGAAGCCTATTTTTACCAGAAGGGCATCATTTTCAAATACAGATCTCACAGCAGGCAGCCTAACACCTCTGATACACTGGTACGAAATCACTGAGGAAATACAAAAAGTAGTGTGTTAATTTTTTCTGAACGAGTGGTTTGTGAATCTGTTGCTGGCAATGGATGTCACAAAACATGCAGAAATAAAACCATAGACTGATAACAGATCCATGGTGACACAGTTGTATATGTTGAGATTTTTTGTTTTCTCCAGTTGATCTGGGAGAGTATGTGTAGAGACAGACAAGCGTCACCGATGAGGAGAGCAAAAAGCAATATACAAGTCTGTTGACCTAAACAAAAAAACCCAAGAACTCTGTTGTAGACTTGTAATTTTTGTGCCTCGTGGGATTCATTCCATTTGTGATGGATTTATCTTAAAAAATTAGCTTGTCTTTCATATGGCTTTTGAAGTTTGTACAGTTCTGACTCTTATCACTCCATAATATGCCTGTCTGTCTGTTCTTTGTTGCTGATTGTCACTGGAATCACACTGTATGTAAATATTTGCTAAGTCTTTGTAAAATGTAATTTATTTTAATATTTTGCAATAAAAATTTTACAATTTATCCTTTCTGGTGATCAAGAAATGAGATTTCATTTTACAACTCCCTACACTTGTAGTGCACCTCAAATAAGACTGGTCCTGGTCCAAAGAGCTCGAAGGTAAGAAGCTGATAAAGCAAGTTGTTTTATGCAAGCAGATGCCTGTACTTGTATGGGGTATTGATGACTTCAGTTCAACAGCATCTGCTCTTCAATTAGATACAGCATAGGAAAGTGTTATTCAATGAGGATTTTTGAACAGCTCTTAAAAGATAAACAAAACTTTGTTCTAGAGGCTGTGTGTTTTCGGAGGCTGTTTTTAAAGAAGATGCGCTGAGAAAGGAAGTGTTAGAATTGATCAGTACTACAATAAAATAAAATGGGTGTTGATGACTGCTGTCTGAGTCTTACACCAGAGCTATTAAAATATCTGAGTAGCTGTTTATGAATTTTCACAAGATTTCTAATAGCAGTGCTCACCGTTTTGCAGGCTAGAAGTATTTGCAGTCCTTCTACTCCAGCAGTTTCCTTAAAACACTTTGGAAAATAGGTAACTACCTACCTTAATGAGTAGTAAAATGTAACTTGATGATATCCATGATAGAG